TAACTCCCAGGCAGTGTGAGATGGGGACAGGGGTGCTTCAAGGCAAACGCTGATGCGCAACCCTTCGTACTCTGAAAGGGCTGTGATGATTAACAACAATGGCTAGGCTCACTGATTTCCTCGCTTGCACCCGCGTCTGAGGGCTGTAGAGGAAGTGCCCCTTCAGAAGCTTATTATTAAGCTCCCCCTTTGTTGTCAGAGAACACCTTTCTTTCTTTGTCATTGTCTTAATTTTTAAATTTATTTTTAAAAATCAATTCCTGTCAGGGAAGAGCACTATGTGATGGGTAAGGGGGGCTTTTTGTTTTTGTTTTTATTTTAAACTAAGCAGATGCATTAATCAAAGGAATAGAGAACTGGAGAAAATGTCGGGCCTAATAGCTGGTATTGACTCAGCCCATTGGTGACAGAAAAGCTGCTTTCAGCTAATTTGCATGGTTTCAGTGACACTAATTAAGAGACCCGATAGCTTTTATAATGTGATAAAAGGCAAAGTCGGTGCGTGTGTGTAGGTGTAAGGAAAGCTATCCCGAGAAAGCGGCAGTTCAAATAGTAGCAAAAAGATAATGTTAGGCTACCTAGGCAGCATGTTGAAAACAACCAGATATATTAACATATTTGTGTTTGACGAATAACTTGAGCCTCTCTCATATGGTTAAGGGATAGATACCTACAGACCAGGGCGGAGATAGATAGTTGCCAACCAGCTCATATTTTACTGCTCTGTTAGGAAAGGCATAGTAAATGAGCAGTACTCCACTGCTCTATATAGGCACCATAGAAAAACAATAGATAGCCCTATCCTCCATGAATTTGTCTAATCCCCTGTTAACTGGTGGAAAGCAAAAGCAGGCATTCTTTTTTTTTAAAAAAATAATATTTATTAAAAGTTTAAAAGTTACAGAAAAAAGAAAAAAGACAACAATAAAAAAGAAAAAAAACCATAGAAAAGCAATACAACAATACAGTAAAAAGAAACAAAAAGAAACAAAGAAAAAACTAAAACACACATCCAATATTCCATATCTTTACCTTTCCTTTACTTGTTTCATCGACCTCCTCACACCTCCCTTTTTTGTATTCTAGTTCAATTCACTATTTCAGCAAATTCTTCCCATCTTTCTCAATTTTTATTCTATAATTTATCTTAACGGTCTAACCTTAAATTTTTTCATTTTAACCCGTTATCAATCAGCTTTTACTTAATTCTTTGTTGCATTTCTACTAAAACCATATAGCTTCATTCCAGCATCCTTCTAACACTCATTAATTTTACAATGTTTCTGTAAGTATACTTTAAATTTTTTCCAATCTTCTTCCACCGACTCTTCTCCCTGGTCTCGGATTCTGCCAGTCATTTCCGCCAGTTCCATGTAGTCCATCAGCTTCATCTGCCATTCTTCCCTGGTGGGTAGATCTTGTGTCTTCCAATGCTTTGCAATAAGTATTCTTGCTGCTGTTGTGGCATACATAAAGAAAGTTCTGTCCTTCTTTGGCACCAATTGGCCAGCCATGCCCAGGAGAAAGGCCTCTGGTTTCTTCAGGAAGGTATATTTATATACCTTCTTCATTTCATTATAGATCATCTCCCAGAATGCCTTAATCTTTGGGCATGTCCACCAAAGGTGAAAGAATGTACCTTCAGTTTCATTACATTTCCAACATTTGTTATCGGGCAGATGGTAGATTTTTGCAAGCTTGACTGGTGTTATGTACCACCTATAAATCATTTTCATTAAATTCTCTTTTAAGGCATTACATGCCGTAAACTTCATGCCAGTGGTCCATAACTGTTCCCAGTCAGCCATCATAATATTATGTCCAACATCTTGTGCCCATTTAATCATAGCAGATTTCACCATTTCATCTTGAGTATTCCATTTCAACAGCAAGTTATACATTCTTGACAAATTCTTAACTTTAGGGTCTAACAATTCTGTTTCCAACTTTGATTTTTCCACCTGGAAGCCTAGTTTTTATCCAAGTTATATGCCTCCATTATTTGATAATAATGGAGCCAATCTCGTACTCTGTTTTTTAATTTTTCAAAGCTCTGCAGTTTTAATCTGTCACCCTCTTGTTCCAAAATTTCCCAATACTTCGGCCATTTGGCCTCCATATTGAGTTTTTCTGAGCCTTTGCTTCCATTGGTGACAACCATCTTGGGGTTTTATTTTCTAACAAATCCTTATATCTTATCCAAACATTAAACAGTGCTTTTCTTACAATATGGTTTTTGAACGCTTTGTGTGCTTTAACCTTATCATACCACAAATATGCATGCCAACCAAATACATTATTGAAACCTTCCAAATCCAAAACATCCGTGTTTTCAAGAAGCATCCATTCTCTCAGCCAACAAAAAGCGGCTGATTCATAATAAAGTTTTAAGTCTGGCAGGGCAAATCCACCTCTTTCTTTAGCATCAGTTAATATCTTAAATTTTATACGAGGCTTCTTGCCCTGCCAGACAAATCTGGAGATATCTCTCTGCCACTTCTTGAAATAGTCCATTTTGTCCAAAATTTGCAGTGTTTGAAACAAAAACAGCATTCTTGGCAATACATTCATTTTTATCACAGCAATTCGGCCTAACAACGATAGCTTCAAATTTGACCATATTTCTAAATCTTTTTTCACTTCAGTCCAACATTTTTCATAGTTATCCTTAAATAAATTCACATTCTTAGCAGTCATGTTAACCCCTAAATATTTCACTTTCTTAGCCAGTGTCAGTCCTGTCTCCTTCTGAAACTTATCTCTCTCAATCTCTGTTAAGTTCTTCTCTAAAACCTTGGTTTTTGTCTTATTCAACTTAAAACCTGCTACCTGACCAAATTCTTGAATTAGTTCTAATACTCTTTTAGTGCTGGATTCTGGCTCCTGTAAAGTCAATACTAAATCATCAGCAAATGCTTTCAATTTGTACTGTTTGGCTCCCACTTGTATACCTTTTACCAATTGGTCCCTTCTAATCATATTTAACAAAACCTCCAAGACCGATATAAAAAGCAATGGAGAGATTGGGCAACCTTGTCGTGTTCCTTTCTCAATCTTAAATTCTTCCGTCACTACATTGTTCACAATTAATTTGGCCTTCTGTTCTGAATAAATTGCACCTATACCGTTTCCAAAACCTTGACCCACCCCCATCCCCAATAAATTCTTCTTCATAAAACTCCAGGAAATATTGTCGAAAGCTTTCTCCGCATCCACAAATATCAAAACTGCTTTGGTATTAATCTTCACTTGTAATTTTTCTAAAATATTAATTATATTCCTCGTATTGTCAGACAAGTGTCTGCCCAGGAGAAAGCCCGCTTGATCTTTATGAATTTCTTCTGTTAACACCTTTTTTAATCTTTTAGCCAAAATATCTGCAAAAATTTTATAATCCACATCAAGCAATGATATGGGGCGGTAGTTCTTGAGTTGTGTCTTTTCAGTCTCTGTTTTCGGTATAAGTGTGATGTAAGCTTCCTTCCACGACTCTGGTGCCCTTTTCCCTTCCAGTATTTCATTGCAAGCTTCCTTTAAAGGTTGTATTAACCATTCTTTCAAAGATCTGTAATATCTTGAAGTCAGTCCGTCCGGTCCTGGAGATTTACCTGGTTGCATATTCTGAATGGCCCCTTCTACTTCCTGTTCCGTTATTTTGTAGTTCAGCATTAATTTATTTTCTTGAGAATTTTTTTGTAGTCCATTCATTTTCAAAAATTTGTCAATTTCCATTTCTTTCTGCTTCTCCTGTGTATAAAGTTGTTTAAAATACCTCTGGAAGCACTTTCTAATTTCCACTGGATTCTGTATGTTCTTTCCTTCTTCTTCCAGGTTCGTAATGGTATTAAGTTTTTGTCTTTTTTTCATTTCTTTTCTTTTCTTTTTCTTCTTGGTGGAAAGCAAAAGCAGGCATTCTTGTCACTCCAGGTATGCAGCTATGCGTCCCTTGCCTCCAGTCTACACAAATATTATACTGGGCCATGCATGCACCTGCCATATTCTTCACAGGTGCACATCCATGTACTCCATTTCTGCTCATTCTCTTCATTGCACATGCGCAGCCACCTTCTCTCTCACTTCTACCTCTCTTTTATTCTCTCCCTTTTACACACAGGTGCAGCACCTCAATCTCTCACTCAGAGATACCCATGAGCCTCACCCGAGCCTCATTCCCTCTCATGCTCATGCACCGTGCACAACTCCTTTCATCTCCCTCTGTCATCCCTGGATGCTGTCTCAAAGTACCGTATTTTTTGCTCTATAAGACTCACTTTTTTCCTCCTAAAAAGTAAGGGGAAATGTGTGTGCGTCTTATGGGGTGAATGCAGGCTGTGCAGCTATTCCAGAAGCCAGAAGAGCAAGAGGGATTGCTGCTTTCACTGCGCAGTGATCCCTCTTGCTGTTCTGGCTTCTCAGAGTCAGAATATTTTTTTTCTTGTTTTCCTCCTCCAAAAACTAGGTGCATCTTGTGGTCTGGTGCATCTTATAGAGCGAAAAATACGGTAATCTGGCTACACCAGCTGCTTAGACTTTCTCTTCCTCCACTGCAGCCTTGGGCTTGGAAGCATGGGCTGAGGCCAAGTTGCTTCATTGTGCTGCTGCTTCATTGTGCTGTTGCTACCCCAAGTTGTGCAGTTCCATTGCCTACCTGGAAATCTGGGTTCAACTGGGCAGGTAGCCTATGAGCATCTTCATTGCCTAACCAGCCTAATGTGAAATGCTGTGAGCAACACACAGGGTCATTCCTTCTTCCAACTTGTCCTCAACCCCCCTCCTAAGCTACCTTTGATAGTTCAGTCCCCAAAGTGCTAATGAAAGCAGCTTAGAATTATGCCCCATTTGCTCAGTGACATGCGAAGAATCATGAGTTGTTGTGTTTTGGGTTCGGTGAATTATTAGGGAAGCCAGTTCTGGGAGTACTTCATCCATCATGGGGTCTTCCTCTTATCTGCTATTTAAATAAGATATCCAACATGCTGGGCTCCTGGATGTTCAAGAAATCAGGTGCAGTGCAGCTTTAGAAAGAAAAAGAAAGAAAATTCAGAGGCTTGATTTCTAAGACCCAATGCTAATACATATCTTCTTCACAGACACGTCTTCTCAAATCTGCATTACAAAGAGAATTACAGTGGTACCTCAGGTTACATGCGCTTCAGGTTACATACGCTTCAGGTTACAGACTCCGCTAACCTAGAAATAGTACCCCGGGTTAAGAACTTTGCTTCAGGATGAGAACAGAAATCACATAGCGGCGGAGCGGCAGCTGCGGGAGGCCCCATTAGCTAAAGTGGTGCTTCAGGTTAAGAACAGTTTCAGGTTAAGTACGGACCTCCGGAACGAATTAAGTACTTAACCAGAGGTACCACTGTACTTAAGGAGTGGGTTTTCTGGACCATCTCCCCTCCTCACTTTCATAGGGGCCAACACTTTGAAACATCTCCACCAGATGAGCTATATGTTGAGCGTTCATCCTGATTTGTGTGCACACAACTTATGGGGAGGCTAGATTTTTGCCAGTGTTTATTGCACATTCCTTTTGATTTGCTTATAGCGTGGCTTTGTGACCATGACCCTGATTTGCTTGCAGTGTGTGCATACCTGTATGTTTTCTTGTTAATCATTGGTAAATTCCTCATTTTCAGTGTACAGTACTTCCTTGTCACTTTCCTAACAGTGGATTGAAAGTGGGTTTGTTGTGCTAAGTCAATAGGGTGTTTTAATCCACTTTAATTGCACAGATCTAAATTTCCTAGTAGACACTTGAATGCCGACAGTCTGAAGGCACCCTTGCTGTCTTATCTGAACACCAATGCCTGCCTTCCATTCCACCTGCCTCCTCCATGCCACATAATCACTGGAAGCCCTCTGAATCTCAGCAAGGCCAGCTATCGATTAACCCTTGTTGTTTTCACTGGTTTGCCTTGACAAGTACTTCCAGAGGCTTTGGCTGGATCTAGACACAGTTTCAGTTAATCACATTACAAGCTTTGTGTGAGAAATCGGGTTAGCAAAAACAGAACTCCGCAGCGCCATCTGGCACCACAGTGTTAGAATGCACAAACAACTCATATAAAGCCCTTTTTCTTTGCCAATGTAGCTGAGTTTGAAGTCTCCTTTTTGCCTGCACTGCTTTTGATGAAAAAATGATTTAATACCACAGAAGCAAAATGTTGATTGGAAAGAGGATGTACAGTCGTACACGGGAAGTCAAATGCCTTGCAACTCGAACGTTTTGATTCCCGAATGTCACAAACCTGGAAGTGAGTGTTCCAGTTTGCGAATGTTCTTTGGAACCTGAACGTCCGACATGGCTTCTGCAGCTTCTGATTGGCTGCAGGAGCTTTCTGCAGCCAATCAGAAGCCGCACCTTGGTTTCCGAATGTTTTGGAAGTCGAACAGACTTCCAGAATGGATTCTGTTCAACTTCCAGAGGGTAAATGGAGGAGAGGAAATGACCCTGCTTTCTTCCATATTAGGCACCCTGTGTGGAGTGATAGGTCCAGACTTCAGGGGGCTTTCTTCACCCCATCTCCTGCAAGAGGAGTTGGCGGCAAACTGGATTTTGGTTTGGTCACAAATGTGCTGGTGAGTCTCCGTGACTGACAGCATTGCAATGTAGACAATCACAAATACGTTTTGCCATTTTTCATAGGCTGCGACAATTCAAGGTAAGCACGAATCTGTAAACCAGCTTTAACCTAACATTGTTATTGTCTTGGTTTGTTTTTTATTTACAGCTTACTCTACTTTTTTGATTTGTAGCCTATGAATAATTCACAAGACATTTTCAACATCCATGCTGTGTTGCTTCCTCTGGTGGACCAGCATCACCTTGAAATGTGCTGGGATTCCTGAAACTTGTAAATAAGTAAATTTAGGCATGTCTGTAATGGGATTCCCTTCAGTACATCGGATGCTTGGGATAGGACAATGAGAAGTGGCGGCTGACACATTAAGATGAATGGGGCACTGCCCTACCAACCTCTGCCTACCACAATGAATCCAGTTGGAGTGATTATAAGGCTAGTGCCTCTGTACCTTTCACATTGCAGTACCGGTATACCACCATGTCATGCTCTATTTCGTTCATACCAGTAGGTACTGCAACGTGAAATGAGCAGTAGAAATCAGGACAGAAGCAATATCATTATAATTATCCCCTCTGCTCAGCAGTTGTTGAGGGGAGAGGGCAATCCTGCTGGTGGATGGGTGTGCCAAGGCTCCACAAGACTCGGGGGGGGGGGGAATCTCAGGTTCTGCAACCAGCTTTCCTATAGGAGCATCACCAGCAGGATGGGTGGGGAAAAGTTGAGGCTCTGCACCTTACAGGGTGTGTGTGTGTGTGTGTGTGTGTGTGATGAAACAAAGGCTGGCTGAGTCAGGATGCTTGTTGGCTGTGAGGCTGGATGCCTTTTCTATGGACATTTCAAGTTTGACAGCAACAGTGAGCTGGAGAGAACAGCATGCAGAACTGAAGCACAAAACTCCCACAGTTTTCTGTGCAGCTGCAAATGGATTATTTATGGAATCGTAAAATACAGAAATGAGCGGCAAATCTGTGCTATATTCCATTCCACACCATTAGTGGTTTTCATATCATGCGGAAGCTCCAATATAATGCACAAAATAACAGTTAGGGAAATGTCCTGAAAATGGAATACGTTCTAGTGTGAACACAGCCTAGGATTGGTTGGTTTATTCTGTCTGTCATCAGCTCTGGCGCCACCTGCTGTTGGCCTCCTTGCCTTCTACCTAATGTACATCAGCTAGCACTGACAATGGGCTATCTCCTTGGATGCACAGGACTGGGGCGTCTGCATGTGTTGCTTATTTCTCCCATCTTCTGTTTGGTGGGATAAGATGGTGTGCATATGATGTCATGAAGGTGTATTGTTTCGCATTGCAGCTGATGCTGTGCATGTGCATGCTATCCCATCAGGTACAATGAGAAGAGGTCAAGTAGCCTGAAAAGGTACACAGGGATGGGGAGCCTTTGGTCTTCCAGATGTTCTTTATCTTGTAACTTCCATCAGCCCCATCCAGTATGGCCAGTGATCAGATATGATGAGAGAAATATTTCAGCAAGATTTGGAGGGCCACACATCCCACTTCCCTTAGTTAAACACCATGGTTTACTGCACTGTGGTTTACTGTTGTTTTATTGATCGGAGTTTAGAAATTACTTATTGTAATTGTTGAGTGGATTTCTGTTTAATTTTGAAATGCTGATATTTAATATTATTTTATATTATTTTACTGAATGTTGAATGTTATTTTATTTGCATATTGTATATTGTATTATGCATATTGTCTTATTTATATGATGTTAGCCGCTCTGAGCCTGGCTTTGGCTGGGGAGAGCGGGATACAAATAAAATTTATTATTATTATTATTATTATTATTATTATTATTATTATTATCTTGGCTGTGAGTCCTGGAAGATCTGCTCCCTACCCTGTAGGCCTTTCCCACCTGGCCTGCAAAGGTGGGGCCCTGACTGACTCCAACTACAAAAGCTGAGGCTGCTGAACAGACTCTTTGGAGTGTTTTTTAGAGGGTTTAGTTGGAGAGGTTGTTGCTGCTGTTGATTTTATTTTTTGTATTGTTATTTTAGACAATCTCTATGTGGGACAAGAAGCTACAGTTAGAACTGGATATGAAACAACTGATCGGTTCAAAATTGGGAAAGGAGTACGACAAGGCTGCATATTGTCTCCCTGCTTATTTAACTTATATGCAGAATTCATCATGCGAAAGCCTGGGCTGGATTAATCCCAATCCGGAATTAAGATTGCCGGAAGAAATATCAACAACCTCAGATATGCAGATGACACAACCTTGATGGCAGAAAGTGAGGAGGAATTAAAGAACCTTTTAATGAGGGTGAAAGAGAAGAACACAAAATATGGTCTGAAGCTCAACATCAAAAAAACTAAGATCATGGCCACTGGGTCCATCACCTCCTGGCAAATAGAAGGGGAAGAAATGGAGGCAGTGAGAGATTTTACTTTCTTGGTCTCCATGATCACTGCAGATGGTGACAGCAGTCACGAAATTAAAAGACGCCTGCTTCTTGGGAGAAAAGCAATGACAAACCTAGACAGCATCTTACAAAGCAGAGATATCACCTTGCCGACAAAGACCCGTATAGTTAAAGCTATGATTTTCCCAGTAGTGATGTATGGAAGTGAGAGCTGGACCATAAAGAAGACTGATCGCCGAAGAATTGATGCTTTTGAATTATGGTGCTGGAGGAGACTCTTGAGAGTCCCGTGGACTGCAAGAAGATCAAACCTATCCATTCTTAAGGAAATGGTCTCACTGAGTGCTCACTGGAAGGACAGATCCTGAAGCTGAGACTCCAATACTTTGGCCACCTCATGAGAAGAGAAGACTCCCTGGAAAAGACCCTGATGTTGGGAAAGGTTGAGGGCACAAGGAGAAGGGGACAATACAGGACAATATGGCTGGACAGTGTTCTCTAAGCTACGAACATGAGTTTGACCAAGCTGTGGGAGACAGTGGAAGACAGGAGTGTCTGGCGTGCTCTGGTCCATGGGGTCACGAAGAGTCGGACATGACTAAACAACTAAACAACAACAACAATGAAAGTAGTTCATCTGCTCCAAAGCAAGTTATCTAACTTGAAATGAGTTGTACCTTAATAAAACTCTTTTAAGTGCACCTTATGAGGCTCCTTTTTTGTTGTTGACACCTTTCCATGGATGCTTCACTATCATCACACATTGTGCATTTCCACTTTGTGCATGTGAGGAACAGGCACTCCAACATGGGCTCATCAAGGCCAGGGATGGGAAGGAATTCAGTTCAGTTTGCATTTTATTGTGAATCTACCTAACTGGCACTGCCTGGAACATTATGCAGACTGAAGCAGAGCTATCTTTGAAGATTCACACTCCTCCAAATAATGTGGACAGAAATGAATCCATTACTGTGCAAAAATAGCATACAAAAATGTATGTTAGGGAAAACTGCAAAGAAAAAGATCTCTATTAGGAGAAGCACACTGTAGAATGCTGATGAATTTTCATGAGAATTAGACAGTAATGCGGAAAGATAGAGAACTGAATTTAAGATTGGCAAAATGAGAAACTTCACAAGAACCACAATTGGCAGATGTCCTCCATCGCTTACTAACACACTTGCATGTTAATACATAAGCATAATGTCTTTTGAAAGCATACATACTTCATTTTATTTGTATGCCAACTTTCCATGTCTAAAACCTTGCTTAAGGTGGCTTACAACATGAAACCCCCCTTTGTTACAAACATTAACAAAAGTAGTCACAGACAATAAATAAAACACCAAAAAGTACACAACCAAACTGAGCAATTTTCACGTAAGACCTAAAATAAAGATGCAAAAATTAATATCAATAACAGCAACAACCCCCCCTCCCTACAAACACCCCTAAAGAAGAGTTTGTTCAGCAGCCTCATCTTTTGTAGCTGGAGTCAGTCAGGGCCCCACCTTCCCGGGCCAGGTGGGAAATGACCTGCTCACAAGGAGCTACACAAATGCTGTGTAGTTTTGATATCACGGTGGTTCTCGGTAACAGTGTGCCTGCAGTATATAGTGACCCCCCTGTTGATTTCCTTAAGAACAAACAAATGGATCTGAGAGAACTATTGCACCCTTGCTGCCTTGTCTCACTTTTAATGGACTTAATTTACCTTATGAATAGAAAAGGAAGCAGGCTTGGATGTCAGATGCTTTTAATCACTCCTCCTATAAGCAGCTCCATTAGAAGGCTCTCCAGTTACCTGAACTATATTTTTCTGTTATGCATTAGGGAGTGCCCTCACCATGACAAGTGACCTTGATGCCACCCAACTTTCTGAAAGTTGCTGCATGTCACAAAGGGGAAGGAAGAGCAACCAGCTTATATCCCTCTTTGCTCAGTTGCTAAGTCGATCTGCCAGGTGATGGCACTTTTCTCCCACTTAGCAGGAGGGCTAAATGAATTAATGCCCACTTGCTATGCAATAGCAATAGCAATAGTATGACCCTAAGCACATTTAATTCTAAGGGTCCGGAGGAGGATGCAGATGGAAATTCACAGCTTAATAAACTATGAACCCCAAAATCTGGGATCACCTCAAAACTGGTGCCAAGGTTTCGCAATCATTTTGCAGCATTTTGCAGCAAAACCCTCATGTTTTATAGCATCCCACAAATGGAGTAATTGATACATCAATACAGGGTTTGTAGTTAATGCCCCCAAACCCAAAAATTGCATTAATTTTTTTCTAATGTACATTTTTTTTTTTGCAAAACAGTCCCACTGATAGAATGCATTTTGTATGTCATTTTTAGTAATATAAGTGTTTCTGTGCACACTTTAGCCAAGTATATTCTTCTTTGCACACATTAATTGGCTGAGGAGCAGTATTGTAAAATCTGAAGAAGTTGACTGTATTTCGGTATGCATATATTTTCTGAAAATTCAAATCCCAGAGAGTGCCTTCAAGCAAACTATCTGGTAATCTGAGATGCAAAATCAGCCCCTAAAGAAAAGAGATTTAAGAGTGGCACCTTAATAACAGCAAGGGGTTGAATATATTAGAGATGTGTAAAGTACACTCCTGTGAAATGTTGCTAGTCTTTACAAACTTCTTTCTTTCTTTCCTCAGGATTACTCAGTTGTTTCTCCTGAGCAGGAAATTCCCAATTCACTCACAGGAAGATACTGCAGCTCTAAGCTGGAACGTATGCATACACTAACATCTCAGGTTCAGCCTCTGGCATCTTCGGTTTGAGTGATCTTTAGTTGTAGGGCAAAGGGGATAGAAATCTCTAACACTCTGGAAAGCTCTTGCTCGTATAAACAGTACTGGACCTGATGGATCAATAGTCTTGCTCGAACTATGACAGCTTTGCATGTTCATATGAAATTTAGCTTTAGGCTTTATATCGTGGCAACTCTAGAGTACGCCTCTTGTCTGTGAGCTCTAGCTTAGTTCCTACCTGAGAACTAGTAGAAGTTATTGTGATACCTGATATGATTTCAAGGAAATAAGAGTCGGATGTATGCACTATTATTTTGAATAGGGTGACCAAAGCCAGTTGCTGTTTACATGTTTTATTAGGCAGCAGAAAGTTTAGTCATGGTCTTATTTAAAACGGAAACCGATTGATTCAAAGAGTGATATAATGGCTCTGTTCAGATGACATTTGCGTTGGGTATTAATACATGGATAGGTGTGAGTGGAAATAGGATCATGCCTGCTAATTCTACTTCTCTCTACAATTCTACGATTCATCCAAGTATTGACTCAAAGCCATGAGCAGATAAAATTGGAGCACTCAGCTCATGTGCACACCAGATTTGTTCATATGGAGAAGGACGTGGAAATGGGACTACGCCTGTTCCCCTTCACACCCAATCCATACATTGATGTACCCGCACATCACATCTGAATAAGGCTGCCTTGACCTTTGCACAGAAAGGCAGTTCATTGTTATTTTTAGAGTACTTCTCAGTTTGTAAATTGCTTCTTCTTACGACTAGCCCATTAGGTGGGTTGGAGGGATATAGTCATTTGCCCAAGAGACCAGCTTCTTGGCCAAGTAAGGATTTGGATGCAGAACTCTTAACTCCTGCTGCCTTACATTTCCCAGTATTTGAAACGATTTCCAGGAAGACAGTGAGGCCTAGCTCAGGATTGGATCATTTTCTCTTCCTGCAAATTTAATTCTTGGCATTTGGGAGACTCTACATGCACATAAAGGTCACATCTCAAACCATTTTAAAGTCCTAGTTTTACCAAAGTCCTAGTTTTATTATAAGCCTGGTGTCCTTTCTGAATATGCATAAAAGATTATGCCTACATTTGAGCTTTTAACAGGCCATCTGGATGATAATTTCATGACCATTTCTTGTTCCTTTATGTACCACCCCCTAATATCTTCCCTAAATTATCTTATCAGTATGTATACTCACTTGTAGGGATGAGAGAGAAATTCGGTTCAGTTTAATAGGAATATAGCTTTACAGTGAAGAACCCAAACTTGGACAGTGTGGAGCAGGGTCTATGTTAAGGCATGTATTCCTCCAGGTTCTGGTCCAAATAATCACAAACTAGATGGGCTGAGCTATCAAAACAACTTTGTGACAGACTGGAGGGGATTAGATTGGGTGGAGGTGTGGCTCTCCCCAGTCGTCTTATCCTATGTCAGCATCAGTCATAGAGGCTGAACCCATTAACCTCTTCCTGCTTCAGCCAGCCCTCACCAGTCATTTGCTCTGGCTCCACCTACTATTGACTTCCCTGCCTTCCACCCTATGAGTCCAGTTAGGCACCAGCCTACACTGTTCCTCAGAGCTCTTCTTGCTGTGAAGAAGCTGTACTAAACAAGTGTTAAGAAGCACGGAACAAGATGTCAGATCTTTGGAACTTTCCCATCATGCCCTGCTTCTCTCTCCACATGTGTTTGTGTGCTCAATGTAGAACCCATGCACATCAGAGTTCCTGAATCAGACTGTCAAGTTCTAAGTTACTCAAAAGTCACCTCACCTCAAAGTCCTACTAATGTGTCCAGGAAAGTGACATTCATTTCTTTCGGTGCCAGTAATGTAATAAGAGCTCCATATAAGGACGGAAAGGGATGAGTGAAGGACAAAACTCCTACTTGCAACTCCATCAGTGATAATTTGGGGAATCACAAGAAGGACCAGGAAATGAATAAATGATAACATCACTCAGGGCCTCAGGAATATTATCTGACAGGTTACTAAATTAATGCTTACTTTGAGCTGAAAGGAAATTGCCTACTCCTTGATGTGTTTTGCACTTTTTCGAAGGGCTAGGGGAAAAAAATACAATTTTCATCTGTTTTCAGTTGATGGGAGAAAAACAGCAAACAGCACAATGGTAAAATAACAAAGCACAACTTTTAACAAGTCCACCAACATATGCTTGTCTATAATTGCACACCGTTGAGGGTATTTATGAAAGCCATTAATGCAGGTGGATTGTCCTTCAGGATCAGTGCTTCAGGTTATTTCACATTTACATAAAGAAAGGAGGCCAAGGTCTAGGGCAGCATTAAAAATAACTGAGGCACTAAATAATTTCTGGAAATGTCCATCAAGCGAGCAGTCCAGTCATTTTATGGATGTTCTAAATTGAAGTCTTTAGCCTTTCTTTCAGAGGACAGAAATATTTTCACAAATGGGAACTTTGATTTCTGTCCTTGTTCTTGTGAGGAACATAATGCCTATGTTTTAAGCATAAAACGTCATTTCTTTGTACCGTTGCTTAATACTAAATGCTTATTACCTACTGAGGCGAAACAGAATGTGTTAATAAAAAAGAAAAGAAAATGGATTTTGTATTTGACAAGTTTTGAAAAAAGTGCGCTAAGTTGCTAAGGCAGAAGTAGGTTTAAAAATAGTCACACCTTCCTAAACATTAAAAAGTCTTTCGCGAGTGAATGCCTTCATTAGCCAACAACTGAATTATCTAAAGAAGAAGAAGAAGTAGTCATATTGGATCTCTCACTCATACTTCATGCTTATCTGTCTTCTTTCAAATATCTCTGAATTTTACTGAATTCTTTTTTTTGCTGCACCCTGAGATACAATATTGCCAGGAACACACTGACAAAAGCAAAAGAGTTTAAGGCTAGAATGGAATATAAAGGATTAGAATTGCAAATGGAAGGCCTTGAAGTCTGGCACTGCTGTGGTATATGGGGGGTCTCTCCTCAACCTTTGCTTTGATTTATTCCCTGACAATCAAATGCAGTTCTTTGGAATGAAATGTAGATTCTAAGAGAGTTGTCTCCACTCCATCCCAGCAACAGAATGCCTGGGACCGAGACAGCAGAATGATTTGTATTATTGTCACCCATTCTTTGACACAGAGTTTGCAGAGTTGAAGTAAAGAGGTTTATCTCCAGCGCACGGGGTGAGGTATTAGATTGGAAATTCAGTTCGAAGAGCTAGGACACGGGAAGGACGTTTCACCGAGGCAATGCTACAGTTTGTGGCATAGTGATAGGATGTGGAGTCAACCTCCAGTGGAGCTCAGCTGGGAGAGGGGAAGCTGCACCTCATAACTCTGGTTTCTGAGCCAGGGTCCACAGCTCTATCCACCTGGTAGCAAGGCACAGAACAGAAGACGTGGCCCTTTCCTGCTGTTTTAATGTGGAGCTACAGTGCACAGGTGCAAGCATGGGAAAGATCTGTAGAAAAGACAAGAACTTTTTCTCAAGAGCATTTGCACATCAACATTGGGGACCTCTGTTGCAATCTGCTGCATGGATGGGCAGAGAACCAATACAGCCTGTAGCTCAGGGGCCTCAACACCAACCACCTGTAATCCTCAAAACCGAGAGAGCCTACAGCTGAGTAGTGCAGAACATACTTTGCATGCATAAGGTTTCAGGAGCCACCCTCAGTTACCCCCAAATGATCACTGATAATGACAGGAGCGAGCCAGCAGTAAATTACGCTGAGCAAGATGGAGTTAACTCTTTACAGCAGAAACAGGATCTGCACAGGAGGGTCAGACCTCATGAGCACAGCAACTCATCTCCGGCAGGTCTTGCCCTCATGAAGTCCCCACCTCTCCAGAGCTGCCTAAGTCCTCCCATCTCCAGGGTTTTTCCGAAGCAATCTGAGACTGTGCCTGCATGCAGTCAACCTCTCCTCTATCCACTTCACGCCTTTTCTAGTTCTGGGAGACACCTGTGCCTCTTCACCAGCCAGACACTTCTCTGCCTCTTGCCCTCCCTCTTCTCCTGCTTCTCCCTCTGATTCTGGACTTCTCTCTGCCAGCTCACTAAGTCCTGTTACCTCATCGGCTTCCAACACATTGTCCCAGTCTTCTCCCTCTGACCATTCATCATTGTCCCACCACCAATCTCCTGGGTCTCAGCCTTCTTCCCTTGGAAGTTCCCCAGCTGGTTCCTCCCACCATTCTTCTGCATGCAACCAATCCATGACAGGTAACCTCTCTATGAAGCCTTGGAGAGCTGCTGGCGGTCTGAGCAGACCAGGGATTGAGAACCTGTGGCCCTCTAGATGCTGTTGGACTCCAGCTCCCATGAGCCCCAGCACAAATCCCAGAGAGCTGCTGCCAGTCAGTGTAAACAGTACAGAGCTAGATGGAGCAATGGTCTGACTCGGTATAAGGCAAAGCCACTTCCGACGTAGAAAGGAGGTAGGGTTGCGGGCTTCACCCTCCCACCATGCGCGCGGGGGCTGGCTCTCAGCCTCCGCGCGATTGAGGGAATCCTTGATCGCGTCATCCCCTGGCCAGCCAATCGGCTGGCCTGGGGTGTGTGGCCTGCTCCATTTAACGCAGGGGCGGCCTGGGATCTCCCTCTTTGCCGCTTCCAGCTGCTCCAGTTTCCCACCCTCCCGCCCTTTAAGGTTTTTTCATCTTTGACCTTGCTATGGACCTTGGTTGGTCGCCATTAAGGGGCCTGGTAGGAATTTTTCCACTTGGCAAATTGGCACCAGCCACTTGGTTTTTCGCCTCCCTCGTAGCAAATCGTTACAACTTCCTTGGTATTGACGATTAGGCATTGGTATTGGTATTGGTATTGTTATGTAGATGGAAGGGGGGGAGGAAGCGCCATCACCTCCCCTGCATATTGAAGGGTAGTCTGATAAAGGATTCCGGGGGGCGTGGCCCTGTTCGAAGCCTATGGAGGTGACGGCCTAAGGCACGCCCCCGAGCGGTGACCCTGGGGGAGTTCCTAGTTGATATGCATCAGCAGGACTCCCCCTACTGGTGGTTAACCTTTCCCGGACTTCAAGCAATTGGGCTGAAGCCGGATAGTCGGTTAGGACCAATGCCTGAGCCAATACCACTCATCACCTGTAAGCAATAAAGTTGTGGCCATATTTAGCCCATTAACCTTAAACATCTGTGTCATGTGTCTTTATTTTCACTGGGGGGAGGTGGGAACTCGCCACGCAACTTCCTATGTTCCTATGAACTGTAGTCCAACAACATCTGGTCCTTTGGAGGAAGACAATAAGTGGAGCAATGTTGCGACACTTTCTAGAAAGGGAGTTAATATGTCCACACACTAATTATAATGCATAAACAAGGGAGGGCTCTGCTTGCTAGCTTCTTAGAGGCTACTGACTGGCTACTAGGGGAACAGAATGCTGGAGCACTCCAGTCCAGAAATGCTCTTGTTCCTGTGTCCACCTGAATTGTGCAGATGTGTCAAATCAAATCAAATTCCTTTATTGGCATCACAGCATAAAACATTTCAGGTCACTGGGATAATTAAAAGGACAAGGGTGAAGCTGTCGAGGGTCATAAGGTCATACCGTGAAGTGCAGATGTGTCTTTGTGGTGGTGGAAAGATGCTGATACCACAAGTTACCATGTCCCCAGCGCTGTACCCTATTAAAAGGTAAAGGGACCCCTGACCATTAGGTCCAGTTGTGACCGACTTTGTGGTTGCGGCACTCATCTCGCTTTATTGGCCAAGGGAGCCAGCGTACAGCTTCCGGGTCATGTGGCCAGCATGACAAAGCCGCTTCTGGCGAACCAGAGCAGCACACGGAAACGTCTTTTACCTTCCCGCCGGAGCGGTACCTATTTGACGTGCTTTCAAACTGCTGCGTTGGAAGGAGCAGGGACCGAGCAATGGGAGCTCACCCCGTCACGGGGATTTGAACCGCCGACCTTCTGATCAGTAAGTTTTAGGCTTTGTGGTTTAACCCACAGCGCCACCTGCGTCGGATTAAATCTAAGGGAAGTGGAACATTTGGGAAAGTGGAGCTTTTTCACCCTACAAATGTAACTTTGCAACAAGGGTTAATTTTAGCTGGGCAAGCTCTCCTCTTTACATGCAGCTCAAAGCAAGCAGCAATTGTGTTTTCACAGACCAGCTAGTGTGAAATTGGGGTCTTTTGCAGGTGCCTGAGCAGCGAGAGAAGCCATTCGGCCCTCTTGCCAGCAAACAACTGCAAATTTCATGAAGTGCTCCCAGAATGAGACAATTCCTCTCAGTCTCACTTTAAAGCCCTTGGCAGTTTCTGAACAAAACGGCATATGCCGTCTCGACAATGCTTCATGTTGGTTGCTCCACTTTCTTTCTCGCATGGTAGGCATTCCCTGAGTGATGCGTCTGAGAATATGGGAGTCCATAATTTTGAAAAAGGTTTCTGAAAAAGGTGGTGGAGAAAGAAGCAGTACAATCTCGGCTTGCTTGGAGATGCAGGTGGCGAGCATCTTTGGGGTCTCCTCCATTTGTTCAAATTTTGAATACTCTTCAATGGTATGGAATTCTGAGGTGGGGAACCTAAGGCCCTGGGGGCAAATACACCCCTCTACACCTCAGAACTGCTAGGTCTTGCCTCTGCAGGCCTAACTCATCCCCAGCCCTGCTCTACATCCACCTTGAGGACTTTTTTGTTTGTTTGACTGGAATATATATTAGAATTGTGATGATGGGTCATACCCAAGGCTGCTGTTCTGCTAGTGCTGCAGACTTCTGTTTGTGCAATATAACACCCCCATCCTTTCCCCTGCAACCCTCCATGCCTCCAAAATCTGTCCCAGGGGGTTGCGGGATCTTCTGGAACTCATTCCTGTTTTCGTCAATATCCTCTGAGGAAACTCCTCAGGTGTTTCTCTTAAGCAAGAATATGGAGAATGGAAAACTGTGTTGGGGGGGAGGTGGAATGGAATGGAGTGTATGGGAAGTGGGTATATCTGACTAGTTGGAATATTCCATTCCACTTCTCACTTGTATTTTCTATTATTATCGTTTCCCAAGGAGAGATGTGCAGAACCTTGCTGAGAAAATTCTCTGGTCTTAATTAAAACATTTACTTTCTGCAAATCTCTCAAGTGTGTTTTACCCAAGTCAGAACCTGCCATATTCACCTCAGATTAGATGAAATTCCACGGGACTTCAATGAACAGTTTTATCCCGGATAATCATGGCATTGGTGGTTGTTGTTGCCTATGAGAACCTAAATGAGTTAACAATTACATTTCTGTTTAATAAAAGCATAACTGATGGATTAGAAAGATTAAGAAATGTAACAACCATTAGTTTCTTTGAAAAAAACAAAACAGTTTTGGATTTAACCTGTAACAGATGGCAGGTCTCCCTGATCTCTGCTTTACAGGCATTTTCTCACTATAAGGAAAAACAGATTTCAGCTAAAGTCTTTGGAGGTTCCATACTTTTTCTTTTTCTTTTTATGGTGGCAGCCTGTGACAAACAGCCTGCTGCATGACAAAATGTCTGCTTTGGGAACCTCTCGCATTGTGGTGCTGCTTGCATTGCCATATCCGAAAAAAGCTTTACGAGCTTGTGCTGTAATTTGTGAACATTTATTACCATGCCATTAAAAATACTGCTATTGTAATAAGATACTGAGGTTAGGCAATTAAGTTGGACTCAAATAAAGCCCAATTTGCTCAGCCCAACAGCTGCAGAAGTTTCAACTAGTGTGCATTCTGAAGAGAGAGAGAGAGAGAGAGAGAGAGAGAGAGAGAAATTTGCTGGCAGAGCACAGGGATGTTCCCAGATCAGGCAGCCCAGATGGACCTCCTGAACCCTTATATCTCAGCAGGATCACTGAGATCACCTGTAGAAGCACCTGGGGTTGTTCCCCAAGTTGGTGAGGCACATTTCACATTGACGTGTAACTGAGCCTTGAGAGTTATTGGCCCACTTCTCTGGAATGCTCTTCCAACAGAGATCCAGCGGGCATCTTCTATACCGAATTGCATACGTTTGCTGAAAACTTTCTTTGCTGCCTGACTTATGCCGACAACCCCCTTTCCATCATAGTTAGCTGGTGAATTGTGTTCATTTTGCGTGTGGTTTTTTATTGTATTATAATTGTTGTAAACCACTTTGCTGTTTTTAAAAAATGAAATTGCAGTATACACATTTTTTTAAAAATAAGTCAATAAATGCAAGGGAGGATTTAAGGCAGTGTGTGTGGTGCAGTTGCACTGGATAAGCTGTTGAGAAAGGCGCCTTCTCAAAGCACAGTAAGCGCTTGTCAGTTAAGCATGCTGAGAATTATCATCATCATCGATTTATTAATCACCTTCTAAACCACCATCTCAAGGCAATTGAATCACAAGATAATTGAAAGCAGTTAAAACCACAAAAAAATAAAAACCCTAACAAGCAGTAAATGCCTATTCATCCAGCTGGGAAACCCTGTTGGAAGAAAAATATCTTTGATTGTTTCTGAAAAGTGCAGATAGTGGATGCCTGTCATATCTTGACAGGTACACTCTTCCACAGAATAGGGGCAGCCCTGCTCCAAGTTACGGTGGATTGGGCTTCTGAGATCCTTGTAACTTGCAGGAGAGAATGGCCCACAGACCTCAGCGATCTACTGAGCATATAAGAGAGAGGGTAGTCTCGCAGGCAACTGGTCCTGAGCTGTATAGGACCTTATATGTTAGAGCAACACACTGAACTTGGCTTAGTATAAGACTGGCAGCCATGGCAGATCCTACAAGCAAGGTGTTATAGCTTGGTGGCTGTTTCTTCACACAAGGAACCTGGCCACTACATTCTGCTCCAGCTGCAGCCTCTGGACCATCTCCAAGGGTAAAGCTCCACAGAGTGCATGGCAATAATTGAACCTTGAGGGTACCAATGCATGAGCAACTGTGGTCAAACTATGAAAACCCAGGAATGGCGGTAGCTGACTTCCCAACTGAAAGGCACTCCTAGCCAAGGAGGATATCTGCACCTCCAGGCATAGAGCTGGACCCAGGAACATCCCTGAACTACATGCTTGCTCCTTCAGCTCTGGGAGGAGTAAGCCACTCTTATGTTTTCAGTGGTCAGGGTTTGGGCTACTGGCATTGGCTCTTAGTCTCTGGGTGACAATTCACAGCTTGGGTGTTTAGACAGTCAATCACATTGAGAGTGGGAGTGGTCCAGGCCTTCAGAAATACATAGAAGATTTGCCCCTGTTTGTCTGTTCTGTTAGCCATTGGCTCAGTAAGGTCCCTTGCTATTATCACTGCGTCTTGCCTCACAGAAACCCACATACACATCAACCACAATTTTGGGGGAAGTCATAAGGTATGGTGTGCATACAGCCTCAGATATGGAGGCCTGAAAGCAACCGGTTCCTGAGATCCTCCATCCCAGCTTTGAAGCTTGCTCAGGGGTCATGTGGCTCCAGGACCTGCACAAAATTGAATATGGAAACCCAGGAATGTCTGGCTTATCCCTGCCTGCTCAAAGATCCTTGCCATATAGAGTGAAGTGACAGGCATCTGCGGTGCTCAGTGTGGAGTCAGTGGCTGCAGTTGCCCTTGCTGGGAAGACAGCATCATTGAGAGGGTTTATTGAATTCCAATAGCGATAAATAATGTTGCTGAGTAATAGCCCTTTTGAATAAACTTAAATATTCAGAAGTGTGATTGCTCGGCAGGCAGCACAGTTTATCACTCTTGGAATCTCTCATGGTATCCGCATCCTTGTGGCTTTTAATAAGTTTTCTCTTCTCGTTTACGTTAGCTGTGAGTGATTTGCTCTGCAAGCCAACATTTTGTGACTCATTCTTCAGGAAAGCAATATAAAAAATTATCGTTACTGTTGGGAATAATTTTGCGTGTGTGCTGAAAAATTAATTTAATTGCCGCAGCTGTAAATTCAGGGAGAGTCCCGTGGGTTTTAGATGCTTTATGGCAAGCTGGTCTATATACAAAAGCTACCTTGCTTGGATCAGGCCAAAGGTTCGTTTTAGCACAGCAGTCACTTTCTTATGGAATCTCAGCCAGATGCTTCTGGGAAAATTAAAGGCAGGATATGATAACCACCCATTTGTTGTAGCATCTGTCAGACCTTGAGTCTTTGAATATGAATCTTCTGTATGCTGCTTCTTGCATATCCAGTTGAGCAGTACCAGAAGCATGGGAAAAACCTTTCTAGGGCTGGCTTATCATAGAATCATAGAATTGTTGAGTTGGAAGGGACCTCCTGGGTCATCTAGTCCAACCCCCTGAGACGCAGGAACCTTTTTGCCCAACGTGAGGCTCAAACACAGACCCTGAGTTCCAGAGCCAGGGGACAGAGATGGCTGCAACATGTGTGCTATGTAGCATGCTTTGTGCCCCCTAAGTTAATTTGCCTTTTGGTGTGGTGGGGGGCACTGGTCCACAGAAACACTGGAGTAAGGCTGTGTACACACCACACATTTAAAGCACATTGATATCAGGTGGCTGATTAAGGGTAGAGCATGACTTCTCAGCACACAATTGGCCCCATGTCTCTCCTCTTTATTTTATGGTTTCATATTAGGAACCCAAAACTGTATGAAAATCTGGTGGGCCAATTTCCCTCTTTGAATGTGTTAGTTATGAACACAGTGTCATGGAATTCTACTCAATATTGATCCAGAGCAGATTCCAATGTATAGTTAGCAGAGTAAAAACTTAAAACACATTGCAGGCTACCCCAAAAATAGACCAGAGGCAATGAAAAATTCATCCAGCAGAGCTCTACTGCTACTGAACGCAAATGAGCATAATGGCCACAAATCCAATACGTTCAGAATTGGCACTGTCCATAAGAAATCCAGTTGCAGCAGACTTAACTTAAACTTACAATAACTTATAATAAGTCTAAACCTAGACACTAAGCATACAGAACACCACATCAGAAGGAGGAGAGATAGAAAGAGAACGTGAAACCCAGGCTCCTTCTGCCCTTACTTTTAGAGTCAGCATGACCTTGACAGAAGAGATAAGAGAACCAGTTCAAGCCAGCTGTACTCATCTTCTCTGAAGGAATAACCCAAACATCACGAACCTTCTGCTTGTTTCTTTCACACAGAGAAACTTCCAGAAGCTTTCAGAATCCAGAACCCTCTTGAATTAAGGAGAATAGGAAAGATCTCTACACATCAGATTAATACTTTCTGTACTGAGAAATGCAAACCGACACACAAAGGCAATCCTCCGTTTGCATTTATATAATGGGATATACCGGATAGCTTGCCCTCTTTTACTGATAGTCATGAGGAGGCATAAGAGGGGGAAAACGAGAGACCCACAACAAACACAGCGCTTCTTTCGCCATTTGTACAACCTATCCTAAAGAGGTTCTTTGAAGCTTTCTATTAATCTCGCTCTTCTCTCCCCTCCGCCCCACAAATCTGAAATCGTGTCCCTCCTGGGGTGATGGTATTAGTAAAAGCCTCGAAGCCATTCTCTGCTGTTAGTTTCTGATTTTCATG